AGTCTCTTGTTCTAGGTATCCACGTTCCCACAGTCAACTCGCTGAATTCTTGTGCTGAACCCCACTACTGCGTCGAGACCCACAACATCTGGTACCTACCGACGAGATCAGGACCTCGCCGTAAGATCCCGAGGCAGAACCACCGAAAAGCTACGCTTACTCGTTCTGCGCAAACCCATGAAACCCGTGAAACCTTGGACCACAGGTGTCTACTCACTTTGACTCATATCTGGTGGCATCCCTATAAAATTTAGCTGAAACTTCCTATCATGCCTTTTAGAGGTGTGTCTCGTTTTACAGAGAATATACTATTTATTTATTTAGTTATTTATTTATCGGTTTTCACCCAACGGTATTTTCCTAACCATCCCACTGACCTCTCAGAGTGGATGCAAGGACCTATAGTGCACCGAACCGTTTCCTAAACAGATCAAGATAATAAGGTCGACCGCATAAACTTCCATTTACACACCTTACTAACGGTTTAATACTCCATACCCTCACAACCCTTTCCACCTTCACTTCTTCACCAAAGATAGTTGTCATCATTGAAGTTGGTCCAATCGGTAACAGATGCCTAATGCACTAGGTATGATGTCGCTATCTTCATGGCGTTTTAACAGCTATACCTTGGACCGAACCTCAGGTCATCATACTTGACACCCTGTCTACTTGTAGGTGTGCCTTCTGTTAACCACTCACACTCCTCACTGTGCCTGAGCCAGGTATGGGAGACAAGCACATTTGATAATGCTTACACGTATTTATCGTGTGTTCAGTTGCCCTCTGGTTAACTGGTTTGCACAGGCAATGGCATTCTAATGCGTAATTACAGTTAGTGCTTGACGGTAATATACCTGGATCGGGAACAATTGGCGTTTGCTAAAGTTTCTTAACTATATACAGCTTAACCTCAACCAACCGCTGAACCGAGATTTTGACAAGTTCCCATTCTGTCGCTAAATTACTGCACCTAATTTTAGGCACTATTGCAAGTACCTGCTTTCTACAATGTTTCAAAGTTCCATCACATTCTGACCACTCGTTTTCACGTAAATTACCTTTACTATACCAGTTTGGTTTTTCTGTTTTGTGCACAGAATCTAAGGGTACGCGGGACAAATACTTTCGGGACCGCTAATTTGGTATGGTCTATAGTACCGCAGTTGTTGCGATCCAGACTTGTTCTGGTTTTGGAATCATTCGCTACGCGTCATTCAACGTTCGACCGGTAAACGCTACGGGTGGGAAGGCCGTGGAAGCAACGAGGGGTTCGACATCTTTAAGGGTAAAAGAGGAGGAATTAAACCGTTCAACACTATTATTCTCTGCACCAGCCCCCTTAGGCTGGGACAAGGATTCTGCACGCCAGCCCACCAACTCCCTCGACGTGCGCCATTTGTGCGCCAGAAGTGTGTATGGAAGAAGAGCAGGGTGGCCAAGCGATAGTCTAGCAAAGTGAAGAACGCTTACCCTATCCCTCTCTCATTTGGCTTCTCTTTTGGTCCATATCGTAACTCTTCAATAGTGGTCTTGTTACCGCTAGCCCTAGCGCAAAATCCCATTTTTCGCTAGTTTCTCTTTGCTGCGGTGGCTCTCGTCTTAAACCGTTTGGACCAATCCGGCGTCTGAGGCGCCAAATACCCATAGACCTCAAACCAATGTCACTTTTCTTTTGCGCGCCTGCTGTAACTGATTAAGATGCTCATAGTTTAAGTAAAAGCCTCAGACCTACTTCTGTCTGTTTATTGTCTGTAAGCTTAGTCCGAAACTGAAATTTCCTGCCCCTGATTGAGGTTTGTCTCTCGGCTTCACTATCAAACTTTTTATTTCATATTAACGACTTTTCTCTCCCCTTCACAAATGAAATTCAAATTCTTAAACCTTTTGGACCAGTCCGATCTCTGTGGATATAAATGCCCATAGGTCTCAAACCAATGCTTCGCTTATTTCGCGCACCGGCTGCCAGTGACTAAGTTAATGATTGGTAAATGTGGTAGCCTCATGTTACTTGTCTCTGTCTGGTTCAATACCAGTTTGCTTGTTCCCTCATATCGAAATTGAAATTTCCCGTCTCTGATTGAGTTTTGCCCCTCGGCTCCACTACCAAGTTATTTCGCTCACATTAACGTCTCTCTCGCATTCGGCATCTGCTTCGGTCCTTATAGCAACACTTCTCTGTACAGCTGTTGCAAGTATTTCAGTCTGTTCTCTTGTTTGTGTGCAACGCTGTACACCTATCAGTTTATACCGAGCCTAATAAATCATGCTGCTCCTGTAAACTAATTAATCAGACTGCCAGCAACTCAATAACCAGCATTCTATCTGACATTAACATTCCACGGTGGATGTCCACCTTAGAGTGGCACACAGCATCTTTTGTGGCTGCTGCCCACACTACAGATACTACTGCTCCCTTTCTGTACTGGCTCTATAACCATTTTCTTGCTAGAGCCGTAGTCTTCAAGCCCTTCTCGTTCCTGTTTTTAGCGTTGAATGCCTATCAGCGGGAAGGTTCTTCCTCATAATTAATCCGACTCCCAATATCGCCCGTTCCTGCCGTATAGCTGACTTGTTTGTCACACTTTATAAGTCTGTCTTTTTCCGCTATTCTAGGTCCCTCAGAGCTGGCCGTTGATGTGGCGAACGTGAGAGTTCGGGTCCGTGACAGGCACGGGGAGGAGAGTAGGGGTAAAGAGGGGACCAAGGGATCGGCTCGTGTCGCATAAGCGAGTTGGGACGACTCCGGAGTCTGGGTGGGCGGCGAAGGCCGGATGCTCGCTTGCAGGGCTGTTGAGAGGGCGTCTAGCGCAGCGCGGAGGCCTAGGGTATACGGGTGATGAGGAGGGGTGGCAGTGTTGGGCGGCGTGGCCTGTATTTTCATGGGGGGGTCTCGGGGGGGGGGGGAGACCCGGGTGCGGTGGAGAGGCAGAGAGGTGGGTGGCGGTGACGGAGGGGGCGGGTACGTCGGACGTCGAGTGCGAGAGCAGTGCGGATTGGGGAGGTGCAGGAGCTCTAGGCGCGGACTGTATGCGGGCGATGCGCGGTGGTGCGTGCGGGGGGGCGTCTCGGCGGGGGAGAGGCGGCGGGTGAGGGGGTGGCCGGCTTAGGGGCGGCAAGATCAGGGAGGACAGCGCTTGGGAGGGGTGTAGGCGGGCGTGGGAGTAGAGGACAGGGCTAGTGTGTGCCTGAGTGACGGGCGAGCGGGCGGCGGGTGTCGGGCACACGAGTGGGGTCGGGGGGGGCGGGGGGTGGGTGGGGTGTGGGAGGGGAGGGGGGGGGGGGGTAGCGAGGAGGGGATTGGAGGGCGAGAGGTTGGCTATAGTGTCACAGGATGGGGCGGGGAGCGGGGAGGCGGATGTTATGGGGGTCGCGAGGCAGCTCCCGTTCGGGGAGTGCAAGAGGAGGGATGGTGGGGGCGGGGGGGTGGGGCGTCGTGGGCGGTGTGTTGCACGGTGGGGGGATGTGTGTGCGGACTAGCTGGAGGACGTATGGGGTTGTGAGGAGTGGATATGGGCGGGGTATAGATATGAGCGGGGGGGCCATTCCCGGGGCGAGGCGAGTTGTGTTACAGGGGCGCGGGTAGTGCGGGCAATGCTGTCGTGTTGACTTTTCTCAGAGTTCCATTGGACACAACATTCGTTGGGCAGGAGGGGGATGCAGATCGCTGAGTTTGGTGTGTGTGGGGGGGAGGAGTGCGAGGTGAGGGACGTAGTGTGGGCTTGGCCTTTGGCTGTCGCGTGGTGGGGATCTAGTGGGGGCGTGAGTGGGTTGGGTTGGGTCTGCGAGTTGTGGGTGAGGGGTGGGTGCATTGGAATTAAGGCGCAACAAGTACTTTTGGAGGGGGGGGCGCAGCGCTCTGGTACTACATCGGGTCGGTTCATTGGTGGGCCTCACGATGTCTACATGTCGATGCTGGGACTGGTCGTGTGTTAGGAACGCTAGTTTGGTCGGAGCGTCTTCTTGCATTATAAGTGTTGTAAGCGGCGTAAGGTTTTAGATATGGCTGCGGGGGGTTCAACGAGTGGTTTGCAGTGAGGGGTAGGGGGAGCTCTTGGGGGGGGGGGAGGGTGTGTGCAACGGGAATTTCTTTCGCTCCCGGGCAGGTAGAATGGTGTAGAACAGGTAATTGGACTCTAGAGGGGGAGGGGGGGCAAGTGCGGGGCTTTATAGGTTGGCCTTGTTCCTGGGGGGGGTCATGTAAGAAGTGTAAAATCAAGATACAGTCTAAAATCATTCTTCATTAATAAGGTTTATTTAGATTTTAATTGTAACACCGTGGCTTACAGCCGTGTTCGTTGAAGTTTCTCGGGACGAGGGATGGGAGACAGTAAGTGTGGACATGTGAGGCTAGCGGCGTGTTGTGCTCAGCGGGGGGGGGGGTAGGCATAGGCGCATAGGATGAGGGGTTGCTGGGGGGCGGAGTGGGGGGGGGCCGGGGGAGGGGTTGGTAGGAGTAGGGTAGTGGCTGGGGGTGCAACCAGCTGGCGGTTAAAGCTGTGAGGGGTGAGCGCGAGACATAAACGGTTGGAGGAGATTATTGTAGGGGGGGGGGGATGGGGCTGGGGGGGGGCGGTTGCGGGATATAAGAGGTGTTCAGTAACATGGAGCCTGTGCTATATTAAAGTAACTTTGGAGGGTAATAACGGTAGCAGGATGGTTGTGCGATTGGGGGGGGCGGGGGCAGTTAGCATTAGGGGGGTTGCGGCTGGGGGGAATGGAAGTAAGGGGTAGTACAAAAAGGGCGGAATGAATGCGAGATGGGACGCGTACCAAGAAAGATTGCATCTGGGAAGAAGGCGAGAGGAGTGATTGGATGTTAGGGCCATTTATATTCGGCGGGACGTTGGTGTTTTTGGAGAACGGGGGTGCGGGTAGGTATGTGGGGTGGAAGGGGGTGGGTTGTGGGGGGGAGGTGTTGGAGGTGTGGGGGTGGTGGGGGGGAGGGCGGGGGAGGGCAGTGGTAGAGGGGCTGGGAGGGAGGGGGGTATGGGGGTAGAATGGGGTGGGGTGGGGGGGGGGGTGGGTATGGGGGGAGGGGGGTGGTTGGGGGGAGTGGTGGTGGGGTGTCGGGGGTGGAGGGGGGTGGGGTGGGGGGGGGGGGGGGTGGGTGGAGGGTAGAGTGGGAGATGGTGAGTGGGGGTGTGCGGGGGGAGGTGGGGGGTTTGTGAGGGTGGGGGGGGGGGGGGGAGGGGGGGGGGTGTGGGGGGTGTGGGTGGTTGGGGTGGCGGGGGGGGGGTGGGGGGGGGGGTGGTGGGGGTGGTGGGGGGGGTGGGTGGGGGTGGGGTGGGTTGGTTGAGTGGAGTTGGGGGTGGTTGGGTGGGTTGTGGGGGGGGTGTGGGGGGGTGGGTGGGTGGGGGTGGAGGGTGGGGGGGGGGGGGGGGGGGGGGGGGGGGGGGGGGGGGGGGGGGGGGGGGGGGGGGGGGGGGGGGGGGGGGGGGGGGGGGGGGGGGTGGGGGGGGGGGGGGGGGGGGGGGGGGGGGGGGGGGGGGGGGGGGGGGGGGGGGGGGGGGGGGGGGGGGGGGGGGGGGGGGGGGGGGGGGGGGGGTGGGGGGGGGGGGGGGGGGGGGGGGGGTGGGGGGGGGGGGGGGGGGGGGGGGGGGGGGGGGGGGGGGGGGGGGGGGGGGTGGGGGGGGGGGGGGGGGGGGGGGGGGGGGGGGGGGTGGGGGGGGGGGGGGGGGGGGGGGGGGGGGGGGGGGGGGGGGGTGGGGGGGGGGGGGGGGGGGGGGAGGGGGGGGGGGGGGGGGGGGGGGGGGGGGGGGGGGGGGGGGGGGGGGGGGTGGGGGGGGGGGGGGGGGGGGGGGGGGGGGGGGGGGGGGGGGGGGGGGGGGGGGGGGGGGGGGGGGGGGGGGGGGGGGGGGGGGGGGGGGGGGGGGGGGGGGGGGGGGGGGGGGGGGGGGGGGGGGGGGGGGGGGGGGGGGGGGGGGGGGGGGGGGGGGGGGGGGGGGGGGGGGGGGGGGGGGGGGTGGGGGGGGGGGGGGGGGGGGGGGGGGGGGGGGGTGGGGGGGGGGGGGGGGGGGGGGGGGGGGGGGGGGTGGGGGGGGGGGGGGGGGGGGGGGGGGGGGGGGGGGGGGGGGGGGGGGGGGGGGGGGGGGGGGGGGGGGGGGGGGGGGGGGGGGGGGGGGGGGGGGGGGGGGGGGGGGGGGGGGGGGGGGGGGGGGGGGGGGGGGGGGGGGGGGGGGGGGGGGGGGGGGGGGGGGGGGGGGGGGGGGGGGGGGGGGGGGGGGGGGGGGGGGGGGGGGGGGGGGGGGGGGGGGGGGGGGGGGGGGGGGGGGGGGGGGGGGGGGGGGGGGGGGGGGGGGGGGGGGGGGGGGGGGGGGGGGGGGGGGGGGGGGGGGGGGGGGGGGGGGGGGGGGGGGGTGCCCGTGGATGCGCTGCCGGAGGGCCTTATATGGATTGGGATAGTGTAGTTGCTCATTGGCACAACGAGGTGAGGGTGTATGGCAGTGAGTTTGCCTATGCATTGAGGGTAAGGAAGGAGGTGCATCGAATATTATGAATGGCTATTGGTGGAGCAGGCTTGGTTTACCGAAGTGCAGATTAAAAATGGTTTGTAGGGACCCGTTTGATACAGGTATCGGGGGGGTGATCATCGCCGTCCACGAGAGCGAGGCCTCGCACAGTCGAGAATAATATATTTATTTATTTATTTTAGTTACAAATTTTATATTTATACATTTACATAGTCCTATTCCATCTTCTTGGCAGTTTGCTCGGACCGTTTTTCTTTTCTTCCTTGTTGTTAAGGGGAACATTACCAGTGTGGTACACCTACGAAGCTCACCTAAACACGGCACCAACACAGAACAAAGAAATCACCTGCACTTCGCAATCCTGACAAGCTAAAGGAACCCATAAAACGACTCAAATCAATACAAGTCACCTGAGTCATCCGACTTGGACGGCTCCAAACACTTGCGATCGACTCCGAAGAAGACCACAAAACCAGCTCAGTTCAGATGGGAAACATATTAGTGAAACTTCACTGCGCATATCCGCAAGGGTAATCGGTCAGATGCAATCTTGCCAATGCCCTAGCACTAGTCGGCAGTGTTCCAGGACGTAGTGAGTCTACGTCTGGCAGGCTTTTCCCCTAAAAAGCCACAAATGTCTGTTTAACAACACTGCGGCGTGGCGGATGTGACTCGCCACTCAATAAAGTCACCGCCCCAAACTCACGTTGGCAAGTTGACCGATAGCACATTTACAAATTATGTGCATAAACCTGCTCCCGTACGAACACACTTACATATTTGATCAGTTACATGACACATCCTTAAACATTCCTGCAGCTTTTTCTTCATGCTTCACTCACTTGACCCGCAATGTGTACACAACCTAATCGGAATAGTTCCTTATCAATGTACCCCACATTTTTGAGCTGATTTCTTAGCTCTACATCCCTTATTCTGTAGACATAGACTTCGTACAACCTTTGGGTCATATAGACCCACCCTACTGACTCCAGGTGTACTACTCTCGCTCTCCTTGCTTCTAATCATGCTATCATGTACAATTTTGCAAATACGCTGCTCATGTCTAAAAGGCGTGCCTTGCTTTGTCGAGCATAAAATCTTTATTTATTTATTCATTTCTTTAAGTTGGCCTCGGCTGGAGCGTCACGGTGTCTTAGTTGGGTTACGAAAGGCAATGAATGCTTTTGGCTGCATACAATTCCTGCTGACATTGCTGGCATTTGACCTCAATGGCGTTTGTGTTGCGAGTTCACTTGTCCCTCCTCTTGCTTCCTCTTCTCTACAACCAAGAGCTGATTTCCTACGCAAAATATAACTCAATTTTGCAGCAAAATAGCTGGCTGCCGGTTCTCCGGAACGACGTTTACCCGTTACTGGTGACTCAGCCGCCGTGCATCTGTTGCATTTGTTTTCTTTGATTTTGTGTTGCGGCGAATAGCTAAGATGTATTCCGATTTTAGGCGTAGTGTACAATAAATGAAGGAATGACTTCAGTGTAGCCTAAGCGTTGTCCAGTCGCGTTGTTCCTCTTTACTTGTCAACGAATTGCCGTAGGGCAGCCTTAAATAACCGGCGTCCGGCTTTGTTCGCGAAATGTCCAGTTCGCTTAAGAAAACATCGTTATGAGTGACAATGTTATACTAAAATGGAACCGAATTAGTAACTAGTGTGGGAGACTCAGTCGTTTCATAGTTGAGCTGACGTCTTTAACAACTAGTATAGGTGCAAATAAATGCTTAAAAGTGTGAGTTCTGTTACGGGTAAAGGCTTGTGCGATTATCAACTTTCTATGTCGGTTTAATCCAGAAAGATTTGGCTTTATTGTTCACACGGTGCGACAGAGTCAAGCTGCACTAGTTGATAAGTTCACACTCGCAAACGGGGGTTCGTTCATGTAAGAAGTTAAAGTATCCGTGGGACAAACCCTATTAGGGACCAGAATATACCGAGTGTCTAGTTTATCTAGTTTGCATTACCGAACATTATTCCAGGATGAGCTGCGGCACATGTGTTTAACTACTAGAGCATTAACTCATTGGGTGGTAGAGAGAAGAACGAATATCCTTTGACAACTTCCTAATTTCCTAATCATTTCAGAGTTGGCGTGGGTCATTACGGCACCAGGTTCCGCAGAGGACCACCGTGGCTGTCTTAGAGGCAGCAGAATCCCAGCGTACACAGATGCGTGTCCAACAGTTGTTTGAAAGGTTCCTCTGTAGCAGCATCAACAATAGGCTCCGACAACCTGTTCCAATCCTTCAATACGCGAGTTAATAAGGCCAGATGAAGCTGCGCACGGTGATCCCCCGATTGACACAGTTTCAAGCAATGCTCTAGTGTCGAACTCTCAGTGTTGGTTTGAAAGAAGTCCTGTAACTTGCAACCCAGTTCCTCTGACGATATTTATATGAATATCCAAGCACCACAGTGACGGCGGTGACTTAGAAAGAAAAAGATCAGTCGTTGTAGTCTAAGCGGATACGACAAGTTTCGTAACTGAGGGAAAATTTTGGATCCACGCCGTTGAACTTTCTCTATCATAACACATTCGGATTTGGTGAGAGGATAGGCAGCGGATAGCCGGTATTTGAAAAGCTGGCGTATATGTAAGCCCTATAGGAGTCAGAAATGCCCCGGTATCTGGAAGGAAAACCTTCTACGTATAGAGCGGAACATGCTGTAAGTTGAATCGACCCTCTGCTGGGTGCCTTGAATACATGTGTTTTCTGATGACACTATCACTCCAAGGTCCCACATATGCGTTGCGCTTCGGAGCAAGGAATCAACAAGGTGGCAAGTTCAAAATGGGTTAGATGAGCCAAAGGAGAGAACAGAGCATTTATCACGGGTTACGGGTCACTTACACTTAATCGACCGAACATGGAGTAGATGGAGGGTGGATTTCAAGCTTTCTGCGTGTTCTAGGCTGGATATTTCCTTTCACAGCTTCAGGTCGTCAGCGTAGATTACGCAAGCCACCTGAAGAGTGCACGGCAGGTTGTTGAGGAAAATATTTCCAAGTAGGGGTCCGAGGACAAAGCTATCTGAACTCATACTGGTCATAAGAACAAGAGCAGAAATTTTTTCATTAACATTCACTTGCACAGGAAGTCGAAGGTCTGTGAAAAAAGGCTCCCAGGCGTGCCGCTTCCTTGGAGTTTAAACCAAAGCCCTTTATGTGGGACTATGTCAAATGCTTTACTAAAGTCTACAAACACAGTCTCCAAGCATTTGCCGGAGCCCAAAGTACTTGTCCGGGTGTCCTTATACATGGAACCTAAAGTAACAAATAGAGGTAATGGCAACTAAAGTATAAATAAGAGAAGCCAAAATCAACTCATGAATATGAAACGGAAAAACGCAGGTTAGGAAAGGTGAGTGGAACGTTGGGGGTTCGCCTTCTGTGGGAGGGAGTTTATCATCGGATCAGAAAGTGCACCGAAACTAAGGGAAATATTGAGCCAACAAAATAACCTACAGTTTTCGGTTAATTACTATGTCCATAGGAATCCTTAATGCACAAGTACTCGGAAAACTGACGACGCTAAAGTAAGAGTTGTTTTACCAAGCCCACTAGTACATGTTACACCATTTGGCCTAAATACATCTTGTAACCATTCTCTCAAACCTGCAAGGAGCCAGTAGATTCAGGCACTGAGGGATTTCCCAGAACCAACTTGAGAGCAAAACATAAATGTAGGGGGCAAAACTGCAAAATTTATGGAAGCAAAGCATGTAAATAAGCTGCAATCACGGTGAATAAAGTAAATATGCAGCACAGAAGGTAGCATAGTTCTGTCTGGCAGTTATGAGCACAGGATGAGCGATGGTAGAAGAGTATTAGAGCTACCATGGGTTACCCTGGTCAGCGAACTAACTGCGCTGATAACCAAAGGAGCAGCGTTGCAGGGTTGCGATTCCTAAGAACTAAATCTGCGATAATCATATCGGCCAAAAGACGAGCTCTTCCGGAATTCGTGAATAAGCTAATCGGTCGATCAGAAGCAAGTTCTTGAACAGGCTGTTGACATTACATACAAATAAAGAGTACACTAGGACAGAGATCATACGAGTTCACCGAGGGCCTATAGATGCCCCCGTCTGCACCACGTCCTTGCCCCGTTAACTGACGCAATAAGTTTGGTGCCCGCCTTCGTAGTCAGCTAATAGAAGAACCCGGGTTAAAACGGCCAGTCGGAGCAACATAGAGCTCCTTGAGGACTATAATAGGACTGGTTGTGGATGACGGTGAAAAGCCAACGCAAAACAGGCGTTGCAAAACGCTACAGCGCGATACTGGAAAAGGGGCCATAAACCATTGTGAAAACAAAAACGCCTTTAGAGTAAAAAGACAGTAAGAAGATAACACGAGGGCATAAACCTGCTTTCCCGGAAACAGGTTACCTTCGTCATCTGATTTATCGAAGGCTTTGCAAGAATACTCGAACGCACCGCAATCCCCAACTGCGCCCCATGCTGTGTTAATAATCACGTAGGCAGCAGTACTACCATCCATCAGTTTAACGCATTTAGTTCGTTCAATATAAACAGCATTTGCTCCAGTGGCTCGGGAAGGAGAAAGCAGGAGACGACATGAAAGATGCGACAACACAACAGTAAAGTAAGCGCAAGACAGCATGCAGTTGCCAGACAGTATGAAGCTGCCGGCGGTGTTGGATAAACAGCGACACGCTACGTGAAGGCATGCAAGATACACAAATATCGTCACCCAAAGAGAGCAACAGAAAGCAGTGAGCGTGTACTGACTTGAAGATTCCTATGCATGCCAGCGTAAACCAGTCTAAAATATATTAACGGTATAGATTTTTTGTGTATTACGGCAGGCAGTTTGCCTGCTGCATCGATGTTCCCGTTTGTTTAAATAACAAGCAAGATATCCGGCTTTTGCTTGCGCGACTCGACCGCAAA